CTCCTTTTCTTCCTTAATTCTGCTAACACATAAGCCAGGAATTTAAGAATAAGGAACATGGAATAACCTTGCCTCTGTGGAGACAATCAATTCCTGGAATTATCGAAGAGTAGCAGAAACCTTCTGTGCTTTTATGTCTTTCTCACGTTTCAGGCTACATGGAAGAATAGCAAGGAAGCAATGCAAAGGGAGCAATTGCTGACTCCTCAACTGTTAGGAAATATATTGGAGAGGAAGACAAAAAAAGAAATGCATGAAATGGAAGGGAAACACAAAGCTCTGGGCCTCCCAGAAATGCTGTTGAGGTGAAATGATCAGAAGATGAATGGTGAGAGTAGTCATCGTCAGAACAAAGTGAAACTAGAATAAAAGCTTAGCAAAATATTAAATCTCAGGACAGAAGCGTCCTCTCAGTTATTGAATAGGGTAGAATCATCAGATTCTTATTTCCTCCTCTTGATCTTACTTTCTGCCAATCTCTCAAGATTATTTTAGTCTTTCATGATAATAATGCACTCTGTTACTTGCTCAGGCTCATAAACAAATCCGATTGGGGCTGGGGGTGTAGTTGAGTGGTAGATGACTTGCTAGCATGTGCAAGGCCCTGGGTTCAATTCCCAGCACCACACCCATAAAGAAATCAGACAGAATAGGGAAGTCCAGTAGCTGTCCTCTTGCATGACCTTTTGTCCAGATTTTATGAGAGCTTGAGAGTCACTGTGTTTCTCTCTCACCCCCATCTGTATTTAGTGAGTTCTAAGGACTGTTATGCCTGAATCTCTCTCAGATCCACTCTCTGGATCATATCACTCCCAATTTAAACCCTGCAGTGACTTCCCATTGCCTGCAGAATAAATGCATATGCCCTGGCGTTATAGGTGAAGCTCCTTAACCCTACTTCGTATACCCGCTTTCTTCCTTTGAGCCTGTCCTCTGGCCAGTCCCAGCCACTCGGAGCTCCAAAAACTGCCATATTCCCTCCTGTTTGTTCTTTCACCTTTGATGTTTTCTGTAGCAAGTTCGCCCTCCTTGAAAGCCATCTTCTCCCTCTTTCTATTGCTTGATTCCCACATTTCTCCCAGCTCTCCAGCTGGCAGGTTTGGAAACAACTTCTGAGTCTCCAAGCTCCTTGAGATCCACACATGAGAGCCAACACTGCCAATGCCTGTTCCTCTTTTCGTGTCATCGGTAACTGCACTGTGGGCATCTTTGGGTCAGGGACTGATGGTTTCCCTTTGTAACCCAGCCTTCGTGGTGGGCCAAGTCTGCAAGCAGGAGCACGGGAAAGCCAGTGAGTGAATAAAGAGGGTGAGAGATACTTGCGTCTGGGGAGGGAGGTGATGAGAAGCTGCTTGCAGACTCTGTGGACACTGAGGTTTTAGGTCATCTCCTCAGTTTCCAGGTTTCCAGAGTAGTGACTTTCCATATTCATGGCTTTTTTTTTTTTTTTTTGGTACTGTCAGTTGAACTCAGGACCTTGTGCTTGCCAGGCAGGCACAGTGCCTCTTAGCTAAATCCCCGGCCCTTCGTGACATTTTCTTGTGCCGGATTCCACTGGATTCCTGAGATCTCCTCATTGGCTGGCAGAGCACTCTGCTCCTAACACATTACCAAAATGCTCATCGCCCTCAAAAAATGTATGATGGAAATAGGAGACCAAATCAGGCTGTGAAACTGTTGTGTGGCAGTGAAGCTGAGGGCTGCTTGTATTGTGAGAAAGGTAAGAAGGGGCAGGGAAGGTGGTTTGCAAGTGCTGTGTGGCTACAGTGAAAGCCGATGTGGTGAGAACATTATTTTTGCTTCCCTATGGGGGTGGATCATTTTCTAGTAGGATTCTTGGGGTTTACTCATAAGGAAAGTCCTCTTTTATCTTTTTACTCACACCTGACATCTTTGTCGCTTGGCAGTTAAAGTGTAACAGCTCCCCCAGGGAGCCCCTTTCATGACCACTAAATTGACAGGCCAGAGCTGACAAGGGCACCTGACTCATTGTCAGGTGAAAATTGTGTAGGATTTTTAATCTTGGAGAAATTGTGGAATGCAGAAAAAACTTTGAAAGTTTATGATTATGCTAATTACAAAGGGGTTCTTTGACTTGTGGTAAAGTTTCAGAAATGCTTATAAGTAATAGTAATGTACATAATGTTTGTGATACTCTTCCTTGAATTCAGTGATTCTCTTCCCTCGAACAGTGAAGGAGAGAGGAATTTTGGGTACTTGCAGAGTGAAGTATCCCTTCCTTCCTTTGGTCAGTCTGTGAAAACAGCCCCTTCTCCCGGTTTCGGTGGAGGGTTCAGATTGCCGCTGTTTGGCAGGAAGGGAGAATTCTCTCAACAGAATGTGAGCCAATATGTTGAATGACAGTTTGTGCTGTGTCAGTTGCTTGGGGCAGGGATTAGACAATGTACATGCGCTGGTGTATCTGGTGTAAAAAATCTCAGGCATCATTTTAAGGTAACATTAAACCTCTGCTCTCCAGTTCCCCAATTGACATCTTCCTCCTGGTAGAAATGAGTCAGGAAAAGCTGGTCCCAGACTCTCCCCGGCAAGCCTTGCCCCACAGCCAGGGAATGAATGCAGTCCAGGGAAGCTGGAAGCCAGGACGAAGCCTCCTGAAGGCCCCCAGTTGCTTGGATTGGATGAACTGTTGGAAGGATCCTGCCCTGCCTCAGAACCCGTGGTACTGTGTTGCTTCCAGCCAAGCCCTGAACTGACAGCTGTAATGCAAATCATCGTGGAGGGTTACATTGGAAAACCCCTTATTTTTGTAGAAAGTGGTTGCTCCTGATGATTGAAGGGCACCTGGAGGGCTGGAATGCTGGAGCTCCAAGCCTTGCGGCCCTTGGGCTCCTTCGCAGTAAAAAACTGGGTGGATCTGAGTTTTCCAAGCTCAGGGGAAAAAGCAATCGTTGTTCCAAAGTGGACTTGATCCCAGAAAGACAGCAAATCCACAGGAATCACAGCAGCGGTCTTTCTGTCAGTGGGTTCATTGGCCTGAAAATTGGACCATCTTTGGGAGCTGAATTTCTCCAGTTAGTAAACGTGTTTGTGGTGAAGGGCTGTGGAAAAAATGACTCAGTGCAGGAGCGATGAAACCGTACTCTAGACTGTGTGTTTGTGCACAGGGCCCTCAGAGGGAGCTCATGTCTTGTCCTGCCCTCCTGCAACACTTACGAGAGAAAGAGCTCAGAAAACCCTTCTAGACTAACGTCTTCTGCACAACCGTGCATACATCTTTCCCCAAGTTCCTCGACAGCAGGTCCTTCTTCTGGTCACGACCACCACCTCTGATGCCCACTTCCTGGAATCCAGCTTTTCTACATCTCCAGTTGTAAGATGTTCATTCATTCATTTATTCTGTCTCTGTCTCTCTCTGTCCCTTTCTGTCTGTCTGAGGTTTAAGCTGGGTTAGGGATCAGTAAAATTTATTGTCTACATTCCATTTTTAAGATTAGCATCTTGAGATCTGGCTTAATTAGAGCCTGGACTTTTTAGGAGTGTGCTTCACTTTTAGGAGAATTGAAAACCACCTAAGATGGTTTTTGGAGAGCGCATTGTTTGCTTTTCCTGGCATTTGTGCACACTTGGTTCCCAGGGTCCCGCGCTCAGCCAGCTGGAAGGTGGGGGTGGGTTGCACTTCAGGACTTCCTCCTTGAGATTTGCTTCTGTAGCAACTTGGGCAACTGTTACAAGCCCAGCGCCTACAGAATGAGGCCATGTTAGTGCTGTCTCCATAGACCTTTGCTGTCTGCAGGGCACCCTGGGGGAGTTCACATTTAATTGAGACTGGATTAGGCTGCAGGGGCAATTTAGGATGGGTGCCACCGTTCAGGTGGATTGCTTGGTAGTGGGAAGATCGTAGAAGCAAGAAGGCGACAGCTGTTCCTGTGAGCTCTCTTTTCTGTCTTGTGTTTTCCACCCAGCCCCATATGTGTACAAATGATACTCAACCTGTTTCCTAAAGTGGTCCTCCGTGAATGCATAAATCACTTAATTCCTTTAGGAAATGCTGTAAACTTGGGTTTCAGTTCATCCCCTGTGTTCACTGCAGGACATTGCTTCATGGATACCATTCTCCTTGATGTGTACAGGGTAATGGAAGTTTCTTTGTGCTAGAGATGATAATAAATTGGGCTCTTAGAAATTGTAATCCAGGATACCAGCTCGAGAGCCAGGTCTCTGTGGAGTTGCTTAATTTATTATGAACAAAATGCTGACTGAGACTGGCTTAGAGAAGCAGGAGGTAGCTGGAGGGTGAGAGACAGGTCTGTGCAGGGCTGCTGTGCTGCTCCGGGCTGTCCTCCTGTTGTCATGGCTCAGGCCTGGGTTCTTTGTAATTAGGATGTCATCCTGGCTGCCCTGAAGCCGGCCTTCTCTTCTGCTTGATCTGATTTTGATGATTGTGTTTTGTAGTAGAGAAAAACCCTCCTTAGTGGGTCTTAGCTATGTTACTCAGCTTTCCCATACTGAAATAAGTACCTGAGATAAATCAGCTTTTTAGAGAGAAAAGTTCATTTTTGGCTCACGGTTTCAGAGGCTTCAGTTCATGACCAGTTGGCCCCTTTGCTTTTTGTGGTGCGGTAATACATCATGGCTAGGACCGAAAGAATAAAAGGGTGGGGAAGGGACTGAGGTCCCTCTGTCTCCTTCAAAGGCACGCCCCCAGCCACCAGAAGACCTGCAAGATGTCACCTCTTAAAGTTGTCACCATTGCCTGATAAACCATGGACTGGGCCCTGAGCCTTTAGCACATGAGCGTTTGGGAGGACATTTCAGATCCAGACTATAGCAGCCTGTGGTTTATTTTAAGCATCTTTGAAACACACACACACACACCCCTACCCCTTCAAAGACAGGACACCCAAATGCTCTCAGGCTGAATTAATAATGCAATTTTGAATATAATTTGATTGACTAATCACGTAATGCTGTGTAATTATTAGAGGAGTTACTTTTTTGTCTGAGGATTTGTTTGACATTCGATGCTCTTTTCTCTCTAGGTGACAGCCCTAACTCTCCTAAGGAGGACACTCCGACCAGCAGTCAGGACTCACTTTCTTCCCCGTCTCCTACGACTGTGGCTGCCCTTGGGCCCCCTGCACCAGACAGAAACCACCTTCTGGTGGATGGAGGGACCTGCGGGGACTTGGCAGCCACTGTGTAAGTTGCTGTACTTTGTTTGGTTTGATGCTGAGGGAGGGAGGACTGTGACCTTTACGTTGATCTTTACTTGGCCAGGGGGCACTGACGCTGTTAGAGCTAAGGATGCTCTTTCTGTATTCATTGTAGCTGCCCAAGGGAGAATGGGCCAGAAGGCTAAGGGGAAACAGGTACAACTTCAAATCCTCAGGTTCAATCTGTGGCAGTTTTGGGTCATTCAAATGAACTTGTTACTCTTCTAGTCAGGATATTGTCTCACTACTTATGCAAACTTTAAGAGAGCTGAGAATGCATGCATGTGACGGATAGACTCTTGAAGCTGCCGTTAGTGATGATTTTAGCTATGTGAATGTTTGACAGCTTCATGTTAGCATTCTGCTCCGTTTTACCCCAGAGCTCCCTGAATAATGGAGACTTGACGAACGACATCTGATTTTGTCTCCTCTGCTTTGGTTTAGTGCCAATCGTGCAGATCACCTCAGGTATATTAGGATAAATAATACAAATACTAGGACAGACAACTACAAAATGCCTTAAACTTATTTGACTGCACAAGGGTTTGTCATGCTGTGTTGACTGAGGCTGTGGAGTTGGGGCAGAATGGGGATGGGGGTGGGCTCTCAAAAGGACACTGAATTTCAAACAAGTGTTCAGGGAAGACAAAAACAGCTTCATTAATAATTCCAAGATATTACTTGATTAGTCAATCAAATTACGTCCAAAAATATATTTATAATTCATCTGGAGAGCATTAATTTTTTTTTAAACTAAAGTTGCTAAAAATAAGTTTGTAGATAATGATGTCATCTGACCCTAGCTGGGACTTCTTGGGACTTTAAATGGATCGGAAAGTGTTCCTTGCGGTACTTGGCTTTTTATAGTTACAGTGGAATTCACATGAAATCATTATGAACCTATTAAGTATTAAGAGAGTCTGGAGAAATTTGGCATGCAGAAATTTGGGGGGGACCCAAAGAAGATGTTGAAAAGCTAACTTAAATCAGAGTGCAATTCCCAAGGATGGAAACATATTCTCTGGATGAGCTCGTTTCTCGCCCGAGATTGTCATATATGTTTATTACTCGGTCTTCACTTTTACTGTGTCTCCCCACACCTTCTGGGTACCAGGGATTGAATTCAGTGCCTCACACATGCTAGGCAAGCACTCTGCCAGAGCACTATCCCCGGCCCATCACACTCGAATAAATACTATAAGCAACAAGAAAATCATTTATGAAGGAACCCAGAATCCTAATCCTGGTTGTGCTCGAAATGGGGTTGAGCCCATGTGCATTTTAGTGGAAAACAGACCCCCGATTATTTCTTTCAGTAAGCTTGAATCAATTGGTGGAGACGGTCTAGTTGGCTGCCTTTCTTCCACCAGTGGTTCTGCAGAAAAGTGACATTCTGAGCCATGGGGTAGCCAATGATCAATTCGCAGCACATCCAGGCCTGAAATAAGAAGAGTTTGATATTTTTGGTCGTAAATCAAATGAGTGAATTCCCCAGTTTCCTATTCATACCTATTTGAAAATGCTGTGAAAAGCACACCAACCTTGAGATCGTCAAAGGGAGGAGGAGGAGGGAGGTATAGTGGAAGCAAGTCTGGAAAGGAGATTTTTGTTACAATGTAGACTTGCTCCTACTTTTCATTGTTTTTTGGTACCGGGGATCTAACTCGGGACCTTGCACTTGCAAGGCAGGCGGTGGAACCACTGACCTAAATCCCCAGCCCAGGAACTAGATTTTTTTAATGCCGTGAATGAAATATATTGTTTCTCTTGAGTCTTAGAGTGCTGGATTTACTTGAGAGCATCTTTTAGCATAGGTTTATCTTTCATATATAGATGAGCACTCTGAAAACTTGAATATACCTCAGAATCACCTGTAGAGGTGTTGCAAACCCCTGGTCCTGGGCCAAGGTTGCAGCTGAGTGATAGAGCAAATGGTTAGCACGCTCGAGGTCCACACTCCAGGACCCCAACCCAGAGCTGATGTTTTGGTGGATCTGCAAAGGGGCCTGAGAATTTGCATTTCTAGTAAAACATTCCCAGGTGATGATTGGTAAGTCTGGACCTGAGAGTATGTTTCTGCACCTTGTTGTTCTATTTGTGGTCATTGTAGACAACTTCTCTGAGCAGTGTAATTAGGATATGTGACTTCTCTGCCTATTTTTAAATATGTCTTAATTTTTTATTGGCATACAATAATTGCATATATTTATGGGGTACAGTGTGACACTTGAGTACATGCATACCATGTGTAATGGTCAGATCAGGGTAATGAGATATCAATCACTTCAAATGTCTGTCATTTCTTTGTTTTGGGATCTTTCCAGATTGCCTGTGCTAGCTCTTTTGCTGTATGCATCCAGTTACCTTACTTGTCCTAGAGAACATTAGAAGTTGCTCCTCTCGCTCCGCTGCACTACTGTACCAGTTAGCAGCCTCTCACCATTCCCCTCTTACTCTTCCCGATCTCTACAACTAATTATTCCACGCCAGTGATGGCAGACCTTTGAAAGACAAGTGCCCAAACTACAATCCCAAACCGACTTATTTATCACCAAGTGCCAACACTGCCATTAAGCCTGAATACTGAGATTTTAGTTTACAAAAAACAACTCATACTTTAACATCCTTTGTCTTAAAAGAAAAACAAGTAACATGCATGCCATAGGTTTGCCACCACTGTTCTATGCTCTACTTCCATGAAATCAGTGATGTTAGCTTCTATGTATAAGTAAAAAAGCATGCATTAAAAAATACATTTCTAGGGCTCAGTGGTGCTGCCGCCTGCCTCGCAAGGAAAAGGTCCCGAGTTCAATCTCTGGTACCAAAAAAAGAAAAACATTTCTAGTGTGGTATGTTTGCTGTCTTTCCAGTAGCCTGCATCTGCTTCCTGAATATTTGGATTCTTTTTTTTTGGTACTGGGGATCGAACTCGGGTCCTTGTGCTTGTGCACCAGGTGGCGAAACCACTGAGCTAAATCCCCGGCCCAACTTTTTTTTTGGTACCGGGGATCGAACTTGGGTCCTTGTGCTTGCGCAGCCGGTGGAAAAACCACTGAGCTAAATCCCCAGCCCCCAATATTTGGATTCTTTATGACTTAAATATCTTCCTGCGTACTTGTTTAAGATAATCTGAGATATCTTTAGGGTCTTATTTAGTCTTCACTTCTCAGAAGTTTTCCTTCATACTCTAGTCTACAAGGGGGCCTTTAAATAATACCTTTCTTAACTCATCCTTATTATTTGGCATTAATAAAATATTGCCTTTGAGTATTAAGTTATGACTTGCCTCTTAGTATTATTTGATATTTATGTGGTATGAGTGTATCTTTCTATGGGTCTTTCCCTTAGCCCATTCTAGATAATAAAATTTTCAGTCATAGAAACTGAATCTTACACTGTAAACGTTTTGTGATATTGATACACTTGTTAGGTCACTCAATTGCTTGGATTAAGTATTTTGTGTTTATAAAAATGCTTTCCTTTTTAACATCCCATTTCTGTCTGCATATCAACCCATGTCTCTTAGGCTACCATGTTTGCTATCTGATCCATCTTCCTTCTTCCTTATAAAGAAAGATTAAAATTTCTTCTTCCAGGAATTCCACTGAAATAGTCTCAACATTTTCTTTATAGCACTCTTCTTTGTTTCCTTAGCATTTACAAGGTTAGTTTTCTGAGTGTGTGTGTGTGTCTGTGTGTGTGCGTGCACGCGCAGGCCTGCGCTTTTGTCTTTCTTTCACCTCATCCCTGGTTACAGTTGTACAGTGTTGACTCTGTAGGTTCTGAGTCAGTGCTGATTAAGTTTCTTTGTAACCAGAGTGGCAAGATGGAATCATTAAAACTCTGCCCAGGGCTTTCCAAAGGAGGCACTGCCTGTGCTGCTTTGTTAGGAACCAGGGTGGTTAATTTTCTTTTCCAAAAGTAACACTTATTTCAGGTCCTGAGGACTGGAGTCCAAATGTATGTGGATCACATAGAAACCCAATCGTCCTCTTGTACAGAAATCCTATAACCTTAGCCACTAGAAAGAAAATTTGCAGTGGAAAACTTACAGCAGCTGTGATTCTGATAGAGGCAATGTGTAAATACATCTGTGGCCTCTGGCAGGTGGAAAACAATGTGGCAGAATTGGATTTCTTGAGTTTTTGCTGATGTTTATGACTTGTGGGTATTATTCATTGCAGTCAATCCATCTGGAACTATTACTTACCTGTGCACTCAGTAAGGTGATGGGTGACTTCATTGCCAGTGAAGAATTGCTAGCTCAGTCTCCTTGGAGGACATTACATCATAGGTCAGGGTATTTCAAATGTTCCAAAGTCATTTCCCCCCAATAAAGTAGTTTTCTCTAAACAGGTTTTCTTCAATTGTAATTGATGGAGCTGGGTCCTTGACGACTAATCCTTTTAGGTTCCCTGCTACAGAAGAAAATCTCTTTTCAGAAATATCAGGTGTTGCTGTCTGCTTTCCCTACGGATTTCAGATGAAAGGTCACACTTCCTTTTCTCTCTATTCAAGATGGTGGCATCCTCGGCCGAGTTTTTCTAGCAGGGGATATCTGTGTCCTGAGGTGCTTCCCGAGCTGGACTGGCAGGTCAGCAAGGCAGTAGTTCCCCCTCCCACCTGCAGAGAGGTGTGGCTTTGTTTACACTGAATGTTAAGGTATTCCCAAAACATGTATCCCGGCTACTCCCCTGAGCCACTCTTGTACCCCATAGATTTGTGCGTATCCAGACTTGATGCTTGTTATTTATTTTTGCTTGTTTATTTTGGTGCTGGGAACTGCACCCATGGGCCTCACGCATGAGAAGCACGTACTCTACCAACAATCTGTGCTTCCTGCCTGATGTTTATTTAAAATCACTAGATAAAAGGTGGGTTCATGGAGCATGCCTGGGAGACTAAGGTAGTAGAACAATTTGAGCCCAGGAGTTTGGGGCCAGCCTGGGCAATGCAATGAGACCCTGACCCCAACAAAAAACAGTA